TTGTGATGCTGTTGGAGAGAAAGGTCGAGGGTGTGCATGTGACACCGCATGGCACTGAGCGTGGATCTCAGGATGCGGCGAGAGCAGCTGTCTGTGGAACGTTGAACATTACGGAGATATCTGTGATCCTGGGAGGATTCAAAACATGAGGGATGAAACTTCAGTTGGAATCCACGTGGGGTGAGTCTGAGCTGGAGGCAGTCACTGAGGAATGTGATATGGCTGTGGAAACGAGTTTTAGCAGATACCTGGTCAAACACCAGGAGTGACGATGAAATTAATGTCAGTAATGAAATGGACAAAAAGAAAGATTGGAACGGAAATGCTGTTGGAGAGAGGTGCAGAACATCTTCACGGTGGGCATCAGTGAAGAGATGTGGCAGTGAGTTAGATAATAAATAAAAACCGAAAGAACTGTGGATGCTGTAAATCAGGCAAAATAGATCAGAGTTAATGTTTCTGGTCCGGTGACCCTTCCTCAGAACTGGTGGTAGCTGGGAAAATGTTGGTTTATATGCAGAAAATAGGAAATGGTCTCTGCAGAAGGTGGACAAGGGAGGGGAGGGGATTTGCTGCTCATAACGTGGTCTCCTCTACATTGGAGAAACAAAGCATAGACTGGGTGACCGCTTCACAGAACATCTACGATCTGCTCACAAAAAAGACCCTGAGCTACCTGTTGCCTGCCACTTTAACACACCACCCTGTTCCCTGACCAACATCTCTGTCTCAGGCTTGATGCAGTGTTCCAGTGGAGCTCAATGCAAGTTGGAGGAACAACACCTCATTTTCCACTTGGGGACCCTGCAGCCCTCTGGCTCAATATTGAGTTCAATAAATTTAGGGCCTAACCTCTCCCATGTCCTAGCCCTCTACCCCACACACCAGGCCTTGTTATCACATAGCCTGTTATTCACACCACCTGTTGTTAGTCACTAACAGTCCCCATTAACAGCTATTCACCCTCCCAGCCTGATTGTTATCAACTCCTTTGTCTGTCCAACAGCTCTTCTCTCTTTTTGGGCTCTATCCTATCATTTACTCAAAAAAGGTAGATTTTTTTTTGAACAATAAAGGAATTAAGGGATACGGTGAGAACGCGGGTAAGTGGATCTGAGTCCACGAAAAGATTAGCCATGATCTTGTTGAGTGGCGGAGCGGGCTCGAAGGGCCAGACGGCCTACTCCTGCTCCTAGTTCTTATGTTCTTACTCCCTACCCCATCCCCCTCCCTATTTTGGGTTTTTATTTAGTCTAAAAATTAAGCATGTACTGCTTAAAGTCGAGCAGTTTGACCAATCGAATTGCATCTGGAACATAGCCCCTTACACTTAACTTTAAAATAAGAAAACGTTAGGGTCTAGGCTATTTTAGTATATTTTAAGGGGGGGTGGTCTGGTCCATAACCGAATGGGTGTCTGACATTCCCTCTCAAAGAAAGGTGTAAATGTTGGGGGGTCGATTGAAATTTTCAAGACTGTGAGCGAAAGATTTTGTTAGTTGATATTTTTGCACAATCGGGAAATGGATTTTGGGTTACAGACCAGCTGTGTGCAGGCCCAAAGGACAGAAAGTGTTTTTCTGTTCTGAATGTTCTTAACCCCCTTCCTCTCTGTTAACTCACCGATCCTGATCTACTCACCGATCTACTCCCACTCCCATTACCTTGGGAATGTGGGTGAATTCAGAGTTTAGCAGCTCAAACTCCCAATGCTCCAGATCTTTCAAACGGAAAAATTAAGAATCTACAGCTATCTCTCCACCTGATTCTCTAAACTTCACTCCAGCCAAGTAGGCCCACAGGCCCCTGAGACCAGAGCCAGGCTAAATCTGTGTTTCTGAATCTGAAGCTAATTCCTGGTAACTTTAACTGAAGTCTTTAAACCAAGTGGAAGAAATTATACAGTAATGTTCCAGCTTCAGTTGGCTCTGATTTCTTTAGCAATTAACCAGGTTATATTCACAATGAAAATTCACAGGAAATGGAAACAGCAGTTAGCCATTTGGCCATTAAGCCTGGACCAAGATTCAACTAGATCATTATTGATTTCAAAGTCATTTTCCCTCACTATCCCTATCAGAAATCTTTTGATCTCTAACTTGTCTATATTCAGTCACTGAGTTTCCACAACCGTCCATGATAGGGAATTCCAAAGATTCACCATCCTCTGAGTGAAGAGATTCCTCTCTATCTCAGTCCTAAATGGCTTCCCCCTTCTTCTGAGACTGTCTCCTGGTTCCAGACCCTTCCCCATCAAGCCTGGGGAGAACATCATTCCTACAGTGACCTTGAGGAGCCCTGTAAGAATGTTCAAAGTTCCACTACTAAGCCTAACCACTTCTAAAATCTGTCTGCCTGATCTCTGTCCTGTGAGACACTAAGAGCAGAAACTAGGCCAGGGTCACAAAGCAACAGGAGGAATCATTGTGTTTCCATTGGGGCTGGTGACCGGGATCCAGCAAGTGTGTTTGAAAGTAGGAGAACCCCATGTTAAGTTGTTTTGATGCGACTCCCAGCACTGGTAGGCCCAGTCCAAAACAGGGGAAGTTACATTATCCAGGTACCTACAAACACTAGCTTTCTTGGTTCTTCTCAAAAGTTGTCCGTGGTTATTTAATCCTTTGGAGTTTGTTTTCACGAAGATCAGGGAAGATAGCAATGAGGGATGGAATGCTTTTCTACATTTTTCACTCGGTATCAACATTAATCTTAGCCATAGCACGGTCCAGGAGCAACATCCCAATTCCTATACCCCAATCAGCATTCTCAAGTCAAATATAGCCGACCCCCCCCACTCTCCCTTTGAAATAGGTTTGTGATCTGATACTTTACCATGGAGTTTCACTGAGGGTCACAGATTGGGATATTCATTAAAACCAGAACACCTCTCAGTCTATGAATCAAACACATTGATCCATACTGTATTCTGCCGTGGGTTAGATATTTCAGAAGGTCTCTCATATCCAACCTTGGCATAGTAGATGCTATTGTTATATTTGCACCAGTTATATATATCTCAAGTTTCAGGCACAAATCATTCCTAGACATTAGTCCTTACTCTCAATCAAATAAAGTGTGATCTTAAATGTAAAGTGTTTAATATTGCAACATTGCATGGAGTCAGGTACTGTCCTCATGGAACTTGCATGAGCATTCTCATGTTACCCCAGTCTTCAGAGTCTATATATATCGCTTTAATCTACACATTCTAAATAATATTCATCCTCTCTACCAAGGAATTCTATCATACCTTCCATGATTAGCTTGTGGCCAGCAACACTGACAATCTCCAGGTTAACGATAAATATCGCATCAAACCAAATAACAAATGCTCTGAATTACTGCAACTGAATCTCCAGCAGCAGGTGGTGATGGTGAGGGAGAACACTGAGCAGAGGAGCTTGAGCAGTTGGGCTGGGACCTCTAGCAGCAGGTGGCAATCTTGAAGAAGAGCAGCTGGAGCAGTCAATTGGATCGTTTCTGGAAGAAAGGATGTCTTCAGGGGAAGAAAGTCTCATAGGAAGAAGGAGCAGAAGGATTCCTCAGAACAATCCAAGTCACAGACTTAAGTCCATATAAATACATAAATACCTCCTTGTTTAGCCTTGATTTCCCTTCATGTTTGTAATGATCTGATGCTGGTGGAATAATGAACTCTACTTCATGATCTTTGGCTCATCCGTGTGTTCAAAAGATGGTTAAATGTCAAGTGTAAACAGTTATAAAATATGAATGTGCCACCATCCATTTTAGAGCCAGGAGTTAGTTTACCGTCTGGAATACAAACTTTGACTCCAATTTGAAAGGGCTAGATCCTGTTGCAATGGCATACCATTTAAAATGATACCTCTGAAAGATTTATCAAAACCATTTTTGTTTGATAATCTACCTCTTATTAAGAATATATTCATGGTATGTAGGTGTCATTGGCTAGGCCCATTGCCTGTCTCCATTTGTCCTTGAGAAACTCATGGTGCACCACTTTCTCAAATCGCTGCAGCCCATGGGGTACTAGTTCGCCCACAATGCCACTTGTGAGGGAATTCCAGGAATTTGACCCATTAACAGCGACAGAACAGCAATGTAGTTCCAGGTCAGAACGGCGTTTAACTTAGTGGGGAAACCTGGTGTTTCCAAGCATCTCAGAGATAGTAGGAACCGCAGATGCTGGAGAATCTAAGATAACAAGGTGTAGAGCTGGATGAACACAGCAGGCCAAGCATCATCAGAGGAGCAGGAAGGCTGAGTTTCAGGCCTAGACCCTTCTTCAGAAAAATTCTTTTTCTGAAGAAGGGTCTAGGCCCGAAACGTCAGCCTTCCTGCTTCTCTGATGCTGCTTGGCTTGTTGTGTTCATCCAGCTATACACCTTGTTTTCCAAGCATCTGCTGCCTTTGTTCATTTGTAGAGGATGCTGTCAAGGGAGGCTTATGGAGTTGCTGCAGTAATCTTCTAGATGGTAAACACTGCTGCTGCTGAGCGTCAGGGTGTTAGAGTGAGTGGGTGTTTGTGGATGTGGTGCTAATCAAGCAGGCTGCTTTGTCTTGGATGATGTCAAGCTTCTTGAGTGTTGTTAGAGCTGCACCCCTCCAAGCAAGCGGAGAATATTCCATCATATTCCTGACTTACGCATTGTAGTTACAGGACTTGTCTAGTTCAGTTTATGGTTAATGGCAATCCCAGGAATTTGAAGAGGTCTGGGATGTCCACTTCTCAAATAATAAGTGACAATTTTGCTGCTCCTTTTTGAGGCCAATCCTGGATACTTGGTTGGAAAATGGGGCTGAATATCCCTCGTTCACTCATAAATTAATAAAACAAACCCAGTTACAGTAGGGAAAAAAGCCAATTTATAGTCAATCTATTCAGAGATGTTATTAAGTACCTCTGGAACAGGTGGGACTTGAACCCAGATCTCCTGGCTCAGACATAGGGATACTGCTGCTTTGCCACAAGTTGCATTAACCCCCACCCCGCATTATTTTCCTGAATTGGGACTTACTTGGATTTATGATTGCTTTGATTGTTTGCTGTTCTCCCAGTATCTTCTCCAGAAAGCCTGTTGCAATCCGTTCCGTTGGAACTAGGGGAAAAGACAAAACAGTTCAAATCATTTTCAGTCAACATGTTACATGTGATGCCATTCAGATTGTGTTTTCTATTGTAGGTGCCCTACATGTCCATGTTTTCTAGTGTGTCAGATAATATATTGCAGATTCTCCCCGTGTCTGCGGGGGTTTCTTCTGGGTGCTCCAGTTTCCTCCCACAGTCCAATGATGTGCAGGTTAGTTGGATTGGCCATGGTAAAAATCCATAGTATAGGGAGGGGGTGGGTCTGGTTTGTTTGCTGTTCAGAGGATCAGTGCAGACTCAATTGGCTGAACGGCCTCTTTCTGCATAGTAGACTTTCTACGGTTTTGAAATAAAAAAATTAAAATAAAAATGCTAAAAAGAAAGACTTGAATTTGTATAGCACCGTACAGGGCACCCTAAAGCATTTCACAGCCAGCGAAGTTTTTATGTTATGAAGAATTTTCACTGTTTTAATACACAAAGTATTGCAGCTAAGTTGTACACAGCAAGATCTCACGGGCAGCACCGTGGTTACTGTCGTCTGAGCAACAGAGCACCATGTTGGATGGGGCCATCTGAAATCTTACTCACTACGGCACAGGTTTGCTGCCACCATCGTCCTTTATTAAGGGATGGTGGTGGTGGTGGTGGGGGTGGTGGGATGGTGGGAGGAGACATAAGATGTACAGGCCCAATCAGCCTGGCATGGGTGAGGAAATCGGTTCCTGGTCTAATGAGAATAGGCTCTTGTTTTAAACGACCAGTTCTCCCACTGAATCCTTTCATAGTGGGTGGTGCTCAAGGTACTCCCCAGTTCTAACCCTGTCAGCCCCTTACAGAGCTGAGAATCTGGGGTTGGGGACTGATTCAGGGATAAATATTGGTCAAAATGTCAAGGGGAAACTCCAACACACTTCTTTGGAACGGTCCCACAGGGTTTTCAGTTTAGTATGTCATTGTAAAGCCAGAGACTCCCACAGTGCAGCCCTTCCTCAGTGCTGCAATGGAGTGTCAGCCTGGAACTTGTATTGAAGGGCAGGCTACAGTTACAGGAGCCAAGAGCTGGCACAATTTCTGTGTACGGGCTGGGTGGGAGGGGGTGTGGACGCGGTCACTATTTGGGATGTTCAGAGGGAGATGCCCCTGGCAAGAAGGTGGATTTGTTGAATAAAAGTCAGGCAGCTCCTCCACTACTGTAGACTCCACTTGTACCCCCACAGGGAGGAAGCGCTGTCAGTCTCACTGAAGCCCTGCTCCCTTGGCCTGCTCCCAGCTATTAAGCTGGCTACTGTCAATGCTGGGGAGCCACTGGAAAGTTTCATAGAGTCATTTCAGTCCAACAAGTCCATGCTGAACATAATCCCAAAAAAAACTAGTCCTACCTGCCCGCTCCTGGCCCAAATTTCTCAAACTTTTCCTATTCGTGAACTTATCGAAGCGTCTCTTAAACGTTCTAACTGTGCCCGCATCCAACACTTCCTCAAGAAGTTCATTACACACGCAAACCACCTTCTGTGTAAAACAATTTGCCGTTCATGTCTTTTTAAATCTCTCCTCTCACCTTAAAAATGTGTCCCCTAGTCTTAAATCCCCCATCCTCGGGAAAAGACAACATACTATTTCCCCTATCTATCCCCCTCATTATTTTACAAACCTCTATAACGTCACCTCTCAACCTCCTACGCTCCAGTGAAAAATGTCCCAGCCTATCCAGCCTTTCTTTATAACTCAGCCTTCTATACCCAGTTACATCCTGGTAAATCTCTTCTGAACCCTCTCCAGCTTAATAATATCCTTCCTATAATAGGGCAACCAGAACTGGACACAGTAATCCAGAAGAGGCCTCACCAATATCCTCTACAATTTCAATATGACATCCCACTTCCTTTACTCAAAAGACTGAGCAGTGAAGGCAAGCGTGCTAAATGCCTTTTTAAACACCCTGTCTATACGTGATGCAAACTTCAAAGAATTATGTACCGGAACCCCTAGGTCATTTTGGTCCACAAAACTACCCAGGGCCCTACCATTAATTGTATAAGTCCTGCCCCTTTTCTCATCTTAAATATCCAATGGGCTTCAAAGCAATTCTATGCTAATATAGTTGGTCTTCGAGTTGTACATTCTGGTGTGCGTTTGATGCGTTGTGTTGTACACATCTCTAATAATCTTTGCATTCTGCAGAGCATTTCTCACCATGCATTTGACTAATCCAATGCCAGTTCTTGGAGCAAACCTGTACCCAGGGCATCTTGCACTTGCCTGGACTAGCAGAGGTGTGTCTTGGCGTTATCAAGTTTTTATTGATGTATTTTTCCACTAACAATCATTTGGTGATCCTGACAATTGTTTGAGCCAATGACATTCCAGAGATCAGCACTCAGCCTGATCACTGTAACAGTGGGCTGCCAATCTGTTTCTGGGCTTGCAACAGTTCAGTTTTAAAAGCTTGTTCTCAGGAAGTGGGTACAGGCAAGGACACATTTACTGTTTATCCTGTGCTGCCTTGAAAAAGACACCATTAGTTCTCCTCAGAAAAGTTGCACTGGGCTGTTTTTCTTGAAATTAATCATTCTTTGTGCAACTAAATGGCATAGTAGCCCACCTCAAAGGGCAATTATTGTGGGCACACAGAGTCATACAGCATGGAAAAGCCCGGTATTAATCAGCCAGCCAAATGTCCCTCAAAGGGTCATAAATCTGGGCAAAGCACTCTACCCCAGAGTCTGGCAGCTGCTGAGACACGAAGTAAATTTAGGAGGGGATGGATAGATTTTTCATTAGTTGAAAGGTTATGGGGAATGGGCAAGAAACTGGAGTTGAGGCCAAGCTGAGATCAGCCATGATTGTATTAAATGGCACAGCAGGCTTGAGGGGTTAATTGCCTGCTCCTGCTCCTTGTTCTTATGAATCTAATTGGCTGCCCAGCGTGTGAAGGTAGGGAGCCCTGCCATTCCTGATTCTGCCTTTGTGCTGGCAGCAGTGTCTGGAGAGACACCATGTTTCTGTTGGTGGGAGTGGAGTGGAGTGGCGTGGTGGCAGGACGACATTCAGAAAGGAATGGGAAGTGGCAGAGAGGCCTGCACCCAAAGACCTGTAAACAGTGTCGGAATAAGTTTAATGACTACACGTGAGCGAATGCACCTTCAAATGATAGCTGCTACCCACTGCACTATCAATCTCTCATGTACTCAATGCAACACATCCAGGCACGACACCAGCAGCCATCCCTAGAACTTGGGACTCATGCCTATCATCTGGACCATCCTCTACACCCTTGCTCACATCCACATCTTCACATCCAGAAGCTGTGCATCTCTCTCTATAGATGACTCCTTTCCCACTCAGAAATATTTCCAACTCTGCTGATGTAAACTCTCAATCAATATCTCGCACCAACTCCTTTGGCACACTAGAAATTGCAAACCAGCTTCTCAAAACCTCAATAGTTTTGGCACATGATATTGAGCATAGACTCGACGTTTCTCAACTTGCTGTAGCTATCGCCCGAGGCAAGCTCCTACTCCCATTCCCCTTCAAAGAAGTTAACGTATAGTCGTTCCCAAGGTTGTTCATGTTTTTGACCATGTTCTTTCTAATCATTCTTGCTCTTTATTTACTGCTTAACTGTGCAGAACACATTAGCCTAGTCTTGCAGAATATCAGCTGTACTTTGTCCTTTATCTTGACTTCAGCCTTGTGATCCTGATTTTATGATTTCCTCCTTGGTTAAAGACTACTTTTAGCACTCCCTGAATGTCAGAGTTACTCTTCACTGATCCTTAAGCTAAATAGCATGGTACAGTCTAACCATATCTCCTTCAGCTAATTCCTTCCTGTTTGGGAGACTTGGGAGCAGAATTTTCCCACCCCTGAATGGCGTGGCCAATAGTGAGTTTTTTTTTTATTCATTTGTGGGATGTAGGCATTGCTGGCTGACCAGCATTTATTTTAAAAACCGAAAGATCTGCGGTTGCTGTAAATCAGGAACAAAAACAGAAGTTGCTGGAAAAGCTCAGCAGGTCTGGCAGCATCTGTGAAGAAAAAATCAGTTAACGTTTTGGGTGTGGTGACCCTTCCTCAGACCCTTGCTGAGCTTTTCCAGCAACTTCTATTCTGACCAGCATTTATTGCCTGTCCCAAATTGCCCTTGAGAAGGTGGTGGTGAGCTACCTTCTCGAACTGCTACAATCCACCTGCTGAGTGTTGACCCACAATGCCCTGAGGGAGGGAATTCGAGGATTTTGACCCAGCAACAGTGAAGGAACGGCGATATATTTCCAAATCAGGATGGTGAGTGGCTTGGAGGGGAACTTGCAGGGAGTGGTGTTCCCTTATTTCTGCTGCCCTCGTCCTTCTAGATGGAAGTGGTCACGTGTTTGGAAGGTGCTGTCTGAAGATCTTTGGTGAATTTCTGCAGTGCATCTTGTAGATCGTACACACCGCTGCTACTGAGCATCGGTGGTGGAGGGAGTGGATGCTTGTAGATGTAGTGCCAATCAAGGGGGGTGCTTTATCCTGGATGGTGTCAAGCTTCTTGAGTATTGTTGGGGCTGCACCCATCCAGGCAAGTGGGGAGTATTCCATCATGCTCCTGACTTGTGCCTTGTAGATGGCAGACGGGCTCAGGGGAGTCAGGAGGTGTGTTATTGGTGCAGTATTCCTAGCCTCTGACCTGCTCTTGTAGCCACTCTGTTTATGTGGTGAGTCCAGTTGAGTTTCTGGTCAATGGTAACCCCCAGAATGTTGATAGTGGGGAATTCAGTAATGGTAACACCATTGAATTTCAGGGGGCGGTGGTTAGATTGTCTCTTATTGATGATGGTCATAGCCTGGCATTTGTGTGGCACGAATGTCACTTGCCACTTGTGAGCCCAAGCCTGGATATTATCGAGACCTTGTTGCATTTGAACATGGACTGCTTCAGTATCTGAGGAGTCACAAATGGGGCTGAACATTGTGCAATCATCAGTGAACATCCCCACTTCTGACCTTATGATGGAGGGAAGG